CTATTATTACTATTAATGTCATTCTAATGCACTAATCGTGTTTCATTGCAAAAATAGGAATAATTATTAAACTTAAAATTAGTACAAATATATTATAATTAAATTTACTGACTATCGAGTCTGTTATCATAACTTTTAAGTTTTAAATGTCAAAATGTTAATTTTAAGTTGTAAAATAATTATTATTTTACAACACTAACCCTGATTTCTGAATGTATAATATATATATAGATGGCTAATGTATTTATATAATTTTAGATTCCAAGCTGAGAGATAATATTATACATATTGATGTGTATATCATCCAGTTTTGGGTCAAAATATAATTATATATAATAACTTTTATGTTGAATTGTGGCAAAAATTATTAAATAATTGGATAAAAATTACAAAAAATTACAAAAATTGTAATTCATTAAGGAAAGATAATATTGGGATTCGATATTTCCTTAAATACTTACATTTGATCCTAATTTTCGACTATTTATAGGGGTATGTGCAATTTTATATTTTTTATATTGATAAAATGTTTGCCTCTAAGCTGATAATGTAATAAAAGGTTTCTAATAAATGGTTGTCAAAACAGTTAAAAATTATCTCGAAACATGCTACTATTAATTATTAAGGTGATTATATTATTACAAGTATTAACGATCACATACAATTAAATTCTCGATAAACAAAAAAAAAATTTGAAATTATATACCTGAAATTTAAGCTATTTATACTAGGTACGTATTCATTCATATTATTATGCTATACGTTGGTATAGACTTATACGTTTATAACAATATTAATAAATGATATGTTATTGTTAAAATAATTATTAATAATGTAACATTTTATATGATATTTTTTGAAAACAATGAAAACCGACCACATTTAAAAACATTAACTGCTAATTTAATCATTAATATTAATATATACATTGAACATTATAAACATGACTTAGAAATTTAGAAATAGAGCCAGGTCTACCTAATCAGGCATATGTCGTAACTTACCATTATTTTTTGAATAAATGTACAATTATAGTGACCTACAACGGGCGAAAAGAAATAAAACTATACGTACGTGACACCCTTCCATCAATACCAGTTCCACTATGGCAGGTTGTCGCTAAAAAAAATAAAATGAATTGGAATTTTAATATTTTTAAATCTGGAAATCAACCTGTTAAAAAATATAGTAGGTTATGTTCGGCAGCAAAAAAACCATTAAGAATCCCGAAAATTATGGCCAAACTACATAAAATATATTAGCCATAGATTAAGAAGACCAAGTGTTTGAAAAACCGTATTACAAACATTAACCCAAAAGCCACACAAATACGATGAATGCTTTACCCTTTACAAAAGAAGCTACTATTACACGTCCGCATATTCTTAACAGCGTACATCATATTTGTTCTAACATATACGTCAGCGCAGACTGTAAATCTAACGTCAGAGGTTCACAATGGCATCGACTAGAATATTCGTCTAAACAATATTGTTCAGAACAATGGTACGCATGCCGATGTTGTTAAGAATCGAGGTTTTGCTCAGATAGACAAAAACCACCAAAATGATAAAATAACGTCAAAAATAATTAAATGCAATTTTTTATACGGATCAACAATAACTACTTCATAATATTCTATAAATAAGTCTTAATAAAATCGTTAAACACGAAATACAATCACCGGGGACTACTATTTTGGGCAAATTAAAACCAAGAATAATCTACAAAATAAGAATGAAATACCTAAAACCGATTTCAACAAGAATTTCCTTCTATATGCCTCCATTTTGATGTAGAAAATAGGCCAAACAAAACAAAGAAAAACAGTATAATATCCTTAACACCCGCAGTCGCCAGTCACGTTTTCTAATTTGATTTGTATGCACAGCTGCGTATTATTTAATAATATAATATAATAATAATATATTATATTATATAATATAAAACGAATCCCTTTCATAATCATAATATAATATTTTATTGATCTACAGAACTTAGTATATTCGTATTTTTAAGCAGATTTAGTTCATTTTTTTCCTTCGTAACACATTAGCATAAACAATAATGTTCTTATTTTTGTCAGTGAAATTCTCAATGGAAGCGGTACCAATAAATAAGTCTACTTCGTCCAACTATATTAGAATTCAGTTCACAATCATATGGGTTATTGTATGATTACAATGTATAAGTGATTAGAACATACATCTTAAAATGTTTCCATCTATATTTTCTGAAATCTGAGACCATAAATTAATTAATATAATTTAATTATTTTGTTGGATTTCATAATTGATTAAAGTAGCTAGGTATATTAAGTGCTAAAAGTACTTGTAGTAATTTATTAGTTTTAATATGTCATATTATGTACAATTTTTTTTTAACTGAAGTGTGACCAATATTATAATATTATATGTTATTTGATAAGATCTTAAAAGGTATAACTATAAGTTTTATATAAAAAGTTTACTGATTTTCAAATAAGTAAAAAGTAAAGTAAATTTTAACTTTGAATTTAACTTATCGAGTTAACAAAAGTTAGTTAACTTGCCCAGCCTTGATATTCTCACATAAACGTAGTGTATAGTCAATATAGCATAACTAAATAAATATTTTTACGGCACGTGCATAATGTTTAATATAATATAATAAGTTGCAGCTCAACAGCGCGCTTACTGTGTAAATAAGTATATTATATATTTATCACAATATTTACGAAACTTGCGATGATTAATAATATTTAAATGAATACCTGCACAGTTTTTGTACACATGATTTACGAGTTTACGACGCAAACAACCCTTCACTCCATCCTTGTATTCTTATACATAGTAAACATGAGTAGTTGTAATAATGTAATAATAACGTAAACTTACGACTTTTATTATTGTTTATAACGCGTTAAGTTACTAGCGAGGACATTATGTAAACACTACACATGGTTTAAAATTTAAAGTTCGYCCAATAATTTATCATCGATAATTCACTCCATTTTTCTAGTGCAGATTTTTTTTCGGTATTCGCCCACGTAATAGACTCTATAGTGGCACTGGTCGTTTTTTTTTTTTTTTAAATAATTATATTAAATAAATCTAAGTAATATAAGTTGTTGCTCATGAGCAAAATATAAGAGTTAAAAAATTCAAAGTTAATGTATATAAGTAAGCGAATTATAATAGAGTGTAGTTTAGTGTTTTTGTGGACACACATTAAATTATGATATTTCTTAATATAATAATATGCACATGCGTTTTGCGTATAATTATATTTCGTTTTGTTATGTTAACAAATTGCGTAATTCAACGGCATCACTGGAATGTGATTATCTTTGTATACGATAAACATATTATTAGAATAACGTCTGGTTAGTGTCATATCTTATAACGGGATAAAAATAATATTAACGACACTSCGCAATAATAAAATCATAACTAATTMAATTATTGAAACATCTGCCGACCGGATAAATAATATACCTAAATAATAATAATAAAAATGAGTAACGACTATTACAATCGAATGATATAAAAAATATAAAAAATTYTAATTTTAATGTATCATAACAGTCAACATACCACAGTTTAATTACAAAATGAAAAGATTAAAAATACGCGATAAAAATATTTGCAAACAACGGTGATATTATCGCAAGCGTATAATAGGATGGTTTACTTTTCGCAAAATAAAAATTATAATTAATTATTAATTTGAGAAATCTCAATATTTACATTGCTGCAATGACGTTAACCTTCCAAATCCTTTGTATTTATATAATATTATATAAATGTATATTGTATTTATAAAATGGCGATATGTACTCGGCAGTGACCGATCAATAAAGGCATATATATATTATATATTATACACTGTGTCGTTGTTTTCCTTCAGTTGTTGACTCTGGTGACGTGGATTTACGATCGGATTTCCTCCTGTGGACTTTGAAGAGAACTGAGCAAAATACCGCTGTGATTTATTTACACTTACAGTGTTGCTTTTAAGTATACTGCAATAATCACGAAAATGTTTTGAACGACCRTCGTAGAAAAGCCTGCAGCTTGATGACCAAAAAAGTATTATATAAAAGTTTATGACATAGACGTCATATTACCCACTGTTTTTGTGTCGTATTTATTGTTCGTGGCTGCGGAGTGGAAGGTGCCGCGTTCACACTAATACAAATGAACGAACCAAAATAT